TATATTTTCCCAATTAAAACTTTTTCACTATACCTCGTTACAGTTTATTTTCATACATTTTCCTCTCTCGTTTTACCTTCAGTGATTAATTTTCATCTTGCCTCATCCGTATATGCGCGCGTGTCGCGTTCTATCGCTTCGTTTAATTTAATTTATAATACACGTCGGCGAGTACAAATACAGAGAGAGGATCCGTCGCTTTGTATATATTCTTCACCGTCGCATTATCACCTTCTGTTTCATTATTCCGCAACCTCGCAACGGATATCCGGATAGCGTTTTCAGCGTACGACGCCGGGGTATCCCGCGTTATTGAAATATCGCTGTTGTCCGCGGCTGAACGCGAGTCGTTAAGGAAGAATCGGGAAATTTTCCATCGAGGACTGCGGCGCCCGACATTAAATATCCACCTTTCTCGTTTTCGAAACGCGGCAAACATTTACTCGCGTTTTCGCACTCAATTCTGCCACCGTGAAACCCATCACAAAGACCACCCGGCCGCGCGATTCGAGCCAATTAGCGCGGCCGACCGGTCCGTTGCGTAAAAGACCTGGTTCAGCCGTTTTATTTGCTATTCGACGCTCGAACGCATCGCGAGAGATAGAGAAAGAGAAAAGAGAGAAAGAGAGAGAGAGAGAGTGAGTGAGAATCAAATCATCCAAGTAGTTAACGATGAGCTCCGTTAGCGTGGACGGCTGCATTTTTCAAACGTTGCCGTCGCGTCTAAGACAAATGGTTACTGCTCCGTCGACGGAAATGAATGGAACGCCATTTTGTAGAAAAAACGCATGAAATTGTATCGCCGTAATTATAAAACAAATATCTAATTTCCACTCGAACAAATAATATCTCGTATAAATATATGCTGTTTCCATGAAAGAAATTCCAGTGAGATAAATGGAAATAGCAAATTTAAAGAAAGCTTTTTCTCTGTGCGTGCGACTAGTCCGCGGATCCAAAGGACGTTCGACAACGTCGATCGCGCAGAGATCGTGACGAGAGAATTTAATCACGACCGCGCTATCACGCCCGGCCGTTTAACCTCTCCTCCGCAAGGTTCAAGGGACCTCGTGCTCCGTGTATCGCCGAGCGTCACGTGTCACGAGCGTCGTGCGTGATCATCGTCGCTCGCTCACTCGAAAGAGAGAAAGAGAGAGAGAGAATCGTATAAATAAATCGTCAATTCCACCAAAATACTTCGGCGCGTGGCGATGCTGTGCAGCACGCCTCTCGAACGAGTGCGTCGTCCGGCGATATTTCGAGGTGATCGAAAGGCGATCTCTAATTGAGCTCGTCAATTTCCTTCGGCCACGTCCTGCTCGCGATATTACTCGGCCGTAAAGTTTCTCTTATCTCCCCAGCTAGTCACACTTATTTTCGGATCTTGAATTCATTGCGCTTCAGTGTGACCGCTCGACTTTGTCACCAACCCACCAGGAAAGGTGTGAGAAAGACGTGGAGAAGGGCTATCGTTAAATCAATGGTGACTACCTCGTCAGATAAAATTACTTTCTAAAAAAGTTCAGAGCGTTTCAACTTTGATCTAAGAACTTTTTCCGGTACCTAATAGATCGAGGAAGCGATTTGAGTTTAAACTTATTGCATTGTGAGAAAAAGCGTCTGTGGGAAAAATTTCTCAAACGGTTTTGCAGGTGCTATTTGAGAAAACGTCATTCTCGTTGGTTGTAGCGGACACTTTAAGGGGCTACGTGCACCCGAGCGGCTCGGAAAAGCTGTTTGAATTTTTCCGATGGATTCTCCGATACGCTGCGCGTCTACACGATGATCTCGTCGCTTTTTCTACACGGTAAAATTTTGTGCTGAAAACGAATCGTTGAAATTTTCTCTTACTTTGACGTATGCGGAACGAATGGAAAAAAATACCCAGATCATGTTAAATTAACACATCCACCATGTCAACAATTTGTATGCTGTCGGCTATTTCAAAACATATGTCGACGATACATATGAATGTATTAATTTTACATTATATATAGGTAGGTCTATACATAGGTCGAAGGTGAATGTATTATATTTGTATACTTTTTAATACATATTTGTATACTCTTACAAGAAGATATTACCAGTTAATTTATCACAGTCAGTAATACTTTTTCTACAAAGGTACTTTCTAACACATTTCCTATATTAAAATAACAGATAAACTTTACCGGATCATTTGCCGTATGGAAATTTCCCAAACATTCCTAAGCATATCATAGATTCTGATCAGATTACTCAAAGTTATCCCAAATAAGTATAACATATTGCCATACCAATTAGGAAGTCCCATTCTTATCCCAATTATAAGAAAACTCGAGGAAAATATTGTACAGAGCAAGTGGAATTTGTCTAGATTTCCCAATTTAAAATCGCGTTTTTAAATTGGTTTAAAAACATTTGTTTAGTCGGTTAATCGGAATAGATTCTAATTAGATCCTATAAAAATTTTTTATGTGAAAACCCAGATAGATCCTATTTTCCCTGCCCAAAGCTTTTCAGATATTTTATTCAATATAAATATAAATATAAAACAGAAATCTGAAAAAAGGAAACTCGGGGTAAATGTTGGACGGAGAAAGCGAAATCTGTCTGGATTTTCCACTTAGAATCGCACTTTTGAAACATTACACCTCTAATTTGAATCATAGATTTCCCAATCGGAGTCCGTCATTTTCTTGGAAGATCGGAACAGATTCCAATTAGATGGAAAATTTACTATTTAGGTTTTAAAGCAAAACTTTTTACTATATATCGTCGACCACGTATCGCGATCGAGGAGGACCGCAGCCCGCGTGAACTCTCCTAATTTCGACTCCACGATCCATGGAAGCGATCCAAGGGTCATCCCAAGAGTGACCCCAATTCCGTCTTGGATACGAACCTGATCCTGAGATGCGTCGTGTGTGTAAAAAGCCGGGGAAAGATGTCTCAGTGAATCCCCTCGGGGTTCCCGTGAACTCGCGGAATCGAGAGATATCGCGGCGACGTATTTCGGCCCGACTATCGTTCTTGTTTGGTAGACGTCGCGCGTCGGCAAACACGCTTGTTTCTATGTAAGCACGCGCGCTTGTATTTTCATATCTATCGCGTTTACGACAAGCTCGTCTATTTTTTTCCTCCTGCCAGCGTATCGCGCGTATTGCTTCGCGTGTGAATGCGTGTACGTACGTGTACACGGTCACGTGGGTGCAAGCGTGTGCATTTTCATTGCAACTGCGAACTTGCCGAACGGCATTTCAAGGTAGATCGAGGAGATAGTCACGAACTACTCAGCTAGCTGATATGTAAACCAAGCAGATAACACTCGGCGAATCGCGCGAACCGCGGTTTTTTCATAAAAAAAAAAAAATTATTTCGGCTGTTTTCCGACGGTTCTCGCGAATAAGTGAACTTACCGCACCGTAGCGCTCGTTCGCCGATTATTCGCTCGCGAAAGATAGAACAGGAGACGCGCGATAATTGATAAACAATGCGCAGTTCGGAGGATACCTGCGCCTCCAAGCGTTTTAACACATTCGTCACCGGCGTCTCACACGTGTGACGCGACTGTCTCCTATGAGAGACCGATGTCACACGTGTATGTGACGGTGCAACAATTGCTTCCTATCGCCTACGTTAATATGTAGTCCGTTTTGCGAAATTTCGAAAAATAGGGTAAAAAACTGGAGATGCAAACTGTAAGGTTTCCCCAAATAAACTAATAATATTAATAATAATAATGACAATAATAATTGCTTTATTAGGCACTAAATTCGTGATAACGATGATGTTAATTATGATACGATAACGTTTACATGTCGGACGAAAAAGCGGACTGCAAATGAACGAGTCGAGCGCGTTTAAAATACCCAGAAGTCGAAGGGTTTCAGAGTAAAATAAGCAATACATATATATATATATATATATATCTTTATTAGTCTACAGGCCGCCTAATTAGGCGCAAACTATCCTAAGAACGTCAGAGCAGCATCAAAGTTTTCGACTCGAGAGGAGAGCCATTTTTCTAATAAGTATTACTATAAAATCAGTAATAATCACTTTATACGTATATCCATTACTATTATATATATATATTCGCAATCACCTAAAAGACGATGCGAAATCCAAGTTTCACGGAACGGCAGGCTCCTGCTGAATAATACATCGATTTTTGCGTGACTCAACTGGGTTTACGCAACCATAGTTTGTACCGAATTTCACGAGTTCGTCGCAGAAGGGGAACTCTCACTTTACCCCCGAGATTTATCCCCCTCCCGATCATCATGGAGATTTATCCAGCGTCCGAAGAAGCGAAGACTTGCTCGTCCGATCAGCGAGTTGCGTCGCCACTGCCGAGCTTTCGCATAATTGCGAGAACATCATTGATCGCGACTGTTTCCGTCACGACCGACCAGTCAGCGTGTTTTACTACAGAATTACAGGGTGGAAATTGCAGTCACCAGAAATTTATTATTATTTATTATTACTGGAAATTATAATTACCAGAAATTATAGTACCGTATATTTATCGATAGAAATTATAGTTACTTTCGACTTCAACTATAGTCTTTTTTTTTATTTTCGTCAGAAAAATAGTAATGCGTACAAAGTGATTATTATCGATGCTATCGTAATACTTGTTAAAAAAATGATTCTCCCCCCGAGTCGAAATTTTGATGCTGCTCTGACGTTCTTAAGGATAGTTTGCGTCTACTTAGTCCTCCTCTGGACTAATAAAAATCGATTTTGACGATATCGATATTTTTTAACTTTCCTTTTGAACCTTCAATCCTACGGATTGAATTTTAACGTCACCTTCATCAACCTATTTTAACGTTAAAACAGCGAAAACGGAAATTTAAGGCGTCATCGGGGTCAAAGTAAGGATTATATTATATTATTAGTATTGAAATCGAATTTTATTATTTTAACGCCTACTATATGCTGTAGAATTAAAGGCTTAACATGAGGGTAAAATTTCGGATCGGGCTGACTAGAATTCCTCCTACGGTTTACAGTTACGGTATTATAGTCAACAAATGACAAATCTTTATTTTTCTCTCAGTGTGCGCGAAACATATTGTTCCGTTACAATTCCACGCTCGTTTCGCTCAGTCGGCATTTCGGAATTATTTATTCAGCCGTAAAAAACGCGAACGGACGTTTTTACAAACAAAGATACAGATTGCGCGTGTAGACGTCTTATAAATACGGTATTCCAGTGAAATAGATTCCGGCGTGCTCGGCACACGCGTCGCTTCGCTTCGGTATTTCGTCCTCATCGCTCCTCTTATCGTTACAATTAGTCGGTATCGCTTTTTAAGTCATTCAAAATATACACGACGACGCACAACTTGCCACGTAGGCGGTTCTGCACACGTCATGCACGCGCATCGTATCGGAACCCTTTGAATTCGTCTGATATTAGGTGGAGAAAATGCGCAATTCTATAAGCGGCATCAACATTAATGTAAATTCCTTCAAGATTGCTTGGATCGATTTCACCGTGAGGAACGTTTCCCAAAACATTACGGTCGCATAATACGTGCATAGTGCTGACCATTGATGGGGCACTAGGGGGAGGATCATATTGAGGATCTGCAAAAACTGTATTACAATCGGCCCTATGGTCTTCGTCTTCTTCACGCATTGGAACAGCTGAATGATGTCGTACTTCACGTCATCCGGTTTGATTCCGTCAGTGCCATTCTCGGCGATCGAGTTATCGCCACTATCGGTATCGTTTGACGGTGCTGGAAGAAAAGGAAAAGTAAGAACATCGAGACCGTCGATTATGCGCGATCGATTCCTTTTTTTCTCTCTCTCTCTCTCTCTCGATTTACACAACAACCGGAGCTAGCAAGTTTTGCTGCAACAGCAAATTGTTTGTTGATATATAGCGAAAAATAATTTTGCTCGCAAAACGTCGTCGTTGCGGCAGCGACGACGTTTAATGAAATTTCATTAGCCGAATTATTTCGCTCTCCGTGTATCCAGCAAATAATAATTAATATTCTTAATAAATCTTTCCGCTGTCGGAACGAATTTTTTCCGCTGTCATTGTATTGACAAACAATTCGCTGTTCCGGCAGAATTTTTCTGCAGGCGCCCGTCCGGCGTGCGAGATTTTTCATCCCGGATTTCGGGAAAAAATCAGGAGACTCCTGAATCTCTGTGTTGAATTTGTCCCCGCGCGGAAACGAGTGAAAATCATCCCGTGACGCGATATCGCGTTGCGTAATGATTAACGCGAGGCTCGTGACGCGTTGATTTTGGCCCTCGTGTGCGGCAACGAGTGAAAATCATCCCCGCGATATCGCGTTGCGTAATACGCTTGATACGCGCGCGGCAATAATTAACGCCAGCGTGGAATCGCGTTTCTCTAATGAGAGAGACGCATACAAAACGAATTCTGCCAGAAAAGCAAATGTTTGTCGATACAGTGGCAGCAAAAAAAGAGCAAGAAATTTGTTCAGACAGCAAAACATTCGTTCCGACAGAAAGATTTATTAAGAGTATTAATTGTCCACATATCCAGCGAATAGCGATTAATGCTCTTAACAAATTGTTTTCTGCTGTCACTGACCAACATTTGCTGTTTTAGCAAAATTTATTTTCTTCGTGTATTAACGGGAGAAACGGAAGGGAGAGGGCGATTCTCTCACTCTCTCTCTCTCTCGAAGCGTTTCCACACAAGACGGTCGTTATTTTCACCGAACTTACCGGCTTCAGCGCAGATTGTAACGATCGCGCCCACCAGCAGCATCATCAGCAGATACGTTAACGCACACCTCTGCCCCATGTTTCCTAGTCCTTGCAATATTACCGCAAACGTGCACGAGCGCGACAACGTACGTATCGCACTAATGGACTGTGTACGCGCGTACCCGACGCATTTATAACAATGCCGATAATTATAATGCAAAACCATTACTCGCCTCTATCGCTCGCGCGTACATGTACGACGAGTGACGTGTGCGGGATACTCGTCCCCTCACCTGTCCAGCCTGATATTTCCCCGCATTACACGCGAAATAAATATTCGACTTTCGACGCATGATTTCGCGATATTTTCCGCCCCGGCGGAATTTATGGCCTCGTCGAGCGACACGATTTATTGATTTACTCAAAGGGTGTCGAAGATCGAGGAATGATCGTCGACACTTGCAGCGGTGGCTGGTCAATTTCTTTCACGAAGAGTCCGGAGATCACGAAGTTTCCTCGCCGAGAATTTCCGCTTCGAGGCGCTCGCATTGCTTTTCAGCTTTATCTATTTTCGGTCGAAATTTGTATTCGGTCTTTCGTTAAACTTGTTTCGCAATTAGCTTGATAACACGCGGATAATCTCTAACGTATTATTTCCAAATATATGCATGGAAACAAATCGAGTATCAATTGGTCGTGAAATATCGTGACTCATATTTTCATAGGGGGGGGGGGGGGCAANCGTTGCACTTTTGTAAAACAGAATATTTGTTTGCACGGCTGAATGTTACGTCATTTTAACGCCAACGCTGTCAAGTGACTTAAATGTAATCCGATATTTCTAATGAGTTTAATTATAGATAATTTCAAACGAAAGTTTTAACGTAAATGCGAGTTTCATTTGTAACTTCGCACCATATTTCCACCCTTTCCCTTGTACATGCAAGCAAGAATAATAGAATCTTACATGAAGATAAAACTTGTTCCATAAGGAAAAATATATATTCTATATAATACCACTGAAAATACATTTCTGCTATATTTTTATTGTTATATCTTTTGTGTTAACATGCTAAATGTGTTCTTGAATGTACTAACATTGTTGACAATCACTCATTTAATATTTAGATTTTGAACTATATTTTTTCTTTAACATTTGAAATCGTCTCATATTTATTCTCTTTTCTCTATGAGAATGTGAGTCACTTCACGACCAATTGTTTGTGTTACTTCTTAAGCCGACTCCACACGTGGATGTGGCAAATGTAGGCGAACGTAAGCGAACGTTGACAATTGTATTGATCACATTTCTGTTGGGCGAATACAACATGCGTAATAATATAACAAATGTAATATAACATAATAGAACATAAATAACGCAATATAACATACGTGATAAATTTGCCTACATTTGCCACATCGTGTGAGGTCGACTTTAACGTATCCACTTTGCGTAAAATCGACAAAAGAATGTCGATCGACCGTTTGGGATATGTGTGAAATGTGTTAAATTTAACATCAAATTTTTTACCGTGTAATTCGAAAATATATCGTCCTCTCTATCCAATATTTTTTTTTCCTTTCAATTCATAAAAATTATTCTCGAATAACAAGAATATGATATTTTTAATGGAACTATATAGAATTTCTTCATGTAAGAGCAAGTTTTATCTTCATATCGGATTACATATGAGAATACGGGCCTTGAATTAATACTAATTTTTTTGTGCACGCGTTAAATTAAGAATGATGTGGGTGTTTTTTTATTTCTTTCCTGACGACTCGATCAAAGGAGCGCCGGAACTGCGTACACGTGTAAATCAATACTTCTGACTTTCTCGGGATTCTGTCATCCTAGATGGTCCCAAGCAATTTAACAGAGTGGCCGAATAAATACGATCGGTTTCATCGCGTACAGTGCCAAGAGCTGCGTCGTTTCCGACTCGCTTATCGTCCAGCTTGTCACGTATATCAAGCCGCATAAGTGTAATTTTTTCAGCCTTAACTTAAAATAGTAGATAAAAAAAATACACGAAGGACACCGTGTTGCGTTACGTGGCGCTACTTATTTATATACGGCTCTCCGTGAGGTCTTCCCGTTGGATTCGAGAGGCCCAGGCACGAGAAGTGCCTCGAACTTCGCCAAATGTAATCTTGATCGACAGTTATTTCGATGGCTCTTTCTCGGCTTAACTTTCCGAGGAGCTTCGTGCGCTCCTCGCTTCCGAAGTCGCGAATTTAATTTCTAACGACTTCTTCCGCTTTAAACGCGACGGCTGGGATCGATCGAGCTCAACTTGGACTTCCCGTTACCATCAATCGTCGCTTGTATCTCTCTTGGAACGAATTTATAGTCCCGCAAAGAACAATTTCAAGAGGAATCGCCAACGAAACATTACACATTATTGTTACGATTAGGAATTAATATCTCTTTCTCTCTCTCTCTCTCTCTTCCTCTCTCGTTCACGATTGCGATTTCAAGGGAAATTAATTGCGAGAGTTACGGCGTCTTCTCGAACGAGTCACAGCAGGGACAATCTCGTCGAATTATTCGCGTTACGCGACTCCAAGCTGCAGAACAATTCATCGTCCTCGATCTCTCGCGCGCTTGCTTTTCAGTTTCGTAATCTTTCTCCCACGCAGAAAGATAACATATTTTCGTATCAATGGAATTCGAAGCTAATGCGCGTTATAGGAGAGGACCGGGGCTAGTTGGTTACGGAAGTAAGCTGACGCATTGTTTATACTTCGGCCATTTTCTAACAAATTGCAGAATCAAACAAGTGGAAAATGCAAAACTGTCTTTGACACATATGACGTAAGTTGCGTCTCTGTTGCATTACCTGCAACGGTTATGAAATAATGGTGTCAAATTGCATTTCTAGCAGTGGAAGTAAAATCTCTACCTCGTTAACGGGACAAGTTGACATGCTTGACATCCTCCAAGATAAAACCGATTTCTTCTGTAAATTGACTTTCAAATCCTTCAGTACGTATTATCTCCTGTTACCAAAGAATTGTACTTTCGAATTATACCAAAGATAGGCACAAAATGCTGCGTAAGGAAGAACAAACGAATAAAATATAAAAAGTATGCCAACTATTGCCGATCTCTCCTACGAATTGTTGAAATTAATCTTTAGATTATGGAAACAATATATGATATATTATTTTCAATAATATTGCTATCGAATCTAGAAGATTTACTTCAATTACGCGCGTTGTTGGAATTTCTGTTTGATTCTGAATAGCATTTTTACCGTCCATTCACGCGAAGAATTCTTTCCAATGTCGCTCGCACGCGTCATTTCCGAGTTTCGCGGAAAATTCCTTAATAATCTCCCAAAATAAGCTGGACAATGGCGGATCAAGTACAAGGTCGATCTTTTCGTTAACCACGCAGAAGGAGAAAAAGGAAGGAGGAAGAGAAAGAGAGAGAGAGAGATCTGGGGTATATTCCGAAATCTATAATGCTGGCATCTCGCCAGGAGACGAGTGGCGCCTGGCGCCGCGACGCTCCCATATATGAACGGTCTTTTCTTGCTCTTTTATCGTGACGTGACGCAAAATGTCCTCGCAAAGTATACACGGCGGTAATTCGGACGAGCACGTGCAATTAGCACGACTCTCGATCGGCTTCCGATTGCTGCAATAAAATTGATTAAAATTGAAGAAATCTTTTCCTCAGTGTGCGCTCGAATGCGCACACTGAGGAAAAGATTTCTTCAATTTTAATCAATTTTATTGCATCCAAAGAAATTTCATCATTGGCACGTTTCAAAGAAACCAATATTCCGATTAATAAATACGATTGTTTTATTGCATCCAAAGAAATTTCATCATTGGCACGTTTCAAAGAAACCAATGTTCCGATTAATAAATACGATTGTTAGACTCTCCAACGAATATGTATCTTTATCTTAACTAACAAATATGTTTGAAACGAAAGATAATTTTCTTACGAAGAAATAATCTGTTTCGCTTTACATATTTATTGTAACCGAATATGTTATTTGGTTAAAAGATATTATTTCTCAAATAATAGCGTTCTTTCTGTTAAGTAATCGAGTTTCCTCGAAGGAGACAATAAAATTTTCACTCAAATAATATTTCGTATATGTTCTTTCCGTGACAACAAATTTTAATGAAATAAATAGAAATACTAAATCTAAAGAAACCTTTTTCTCTGTATGGAAGAGGCGGCCGCGCGCTACTCTTATGCAAATATCGGGTCACCGGCTTTTATTACGAGCGTTTCATAGAGACTGTCGTCTTCTATCGGTCGTCAGCTGTATTCGCCCCGCTACTCGCGACCGTATTATTGCGCCGTCTTAGCGGAACTGCACGTGCGGGCAGGGAGCAGCTTGCACACCTTAGTCACGTCGATAAACGCTCCCGTGAATATGCCGGTATTAAAAAAAAAAAACAGAGAAGAAAATGATGCCACTTGCGTCTCTGACATCACTGTGTGCAAAGCAATAACCCATATTTACAGCGAACGTTACAGCACAAAGCCGACGCAATTTGCGACTGTCGAACGTCGCCCAAGAATTCCTCATTCGATCGTGGACCGTAATCGATCTTCATGTTCTCGTGTTGAGAAAAAATTTTCGTACTTTTAACTGTCACCGCATAAATGGGGGAATTATAGTTTAGCTTTTAGTCGCGTTGCCTATTGCCGATTGTTGATTACTTATAAACATTTTGTACCACTTGAAAGAGTCCGACATTGAACCGAAACGCTTGGGTAATGATAATATTAAGACACTCGTATAATAATCGTCGTTACTGTCTCAAGGATTGTTTCCTTTTAATCGCACTAATCCACCCGTGCTTAGGCCCGCTCACATCTTATTAGACTGAATATCTACGGAACCGTTTATTCTTTTATTTTACAAGTAAGTCTGAGATACGTCATGATGATATATGTCAAGGTCATTGAAATCGGCGAGACTCTCAATATGCAGGTTTACTCAATTTTTTTTAAGTTAAAACCAGAAGAATATATATGATTGAGATCGAAAATAACCATAATTTTAGTCGAATTTCTCTCATTGCATACTGTCGAAGCATATAACAAAAATATAAAGGGATACTATTTATACAAACTAAATTATTATTCTTGCATTATATACACAACTCTTATGTGTTATTTATGTTATTCTTGTAGTTTAT